AAAAATATATATCGTGATTATAAGGATGTCATCGAGAGATTCCACTGTCACCGTTTCGGCAGTGTAGTGGTAGCACAACTGACCGGCAATCGTGAGGCCAATTCCCGGTTCAATTCCCGGCCATTCCATACCTTTTTTTGGCTTCTCTTGCCTTCTATGTTCCATTGCTGGAATAAAACGGAGAGACATGGAGAGCTGAAACGTGGCATGGACGTGCCTACCGCCACGATGAGTTCAGGAAAAATGCAAAATTTTAGATCCATTCCCTGGGGCATATTTTTTTGGGTGCCGACGTTTTCAACTTGCTAGAAGAAGGGTGGCGATATAAGATACGTATGCCATGTTCCACTTCAAGAAGGGGATTGCTTTCAGGAGATTATCTCATGCCATACATTTACGAGAATTGTGCACTACGATGAACCTTTATCTTAATAGAATAAGCAAGGAGTACTAGTGCGGCCGACCTCATTCAGAAATCAAATCTTTAAAAAGTTTGAAGAACGCCATGCGTCAGATTGGAGATTATCCATTCCGGACTATTTAGAAGGAATCTTCGACTGCAGGGGAGAAAGTGCTAATTCCCTCATTCACCTTTTCGAATGGTTCTTTCTTCGCAATCTCATGTTGATCAGGCGTCACTGTTTTCTTTTCCCACAAGTCTTCAATGATTTTACCTATGTCAATGCATATAAAATCTTCCGCGTATTTGTTTAAGACATCAGCAATATCCATGAAGGCTTCCTCGAGGAATCTTGAGCCAGGAGTTCTATTCCAAGCAAATCTGAAGCTTTAAGAAGTGAAGATGTTTCTTTTAAATTAGTGCTTTCATGTTACATAGCAATACTGCTAAAAGTACAATCAGATAGGTGTTTCATTCAGGATCAACTTAATTTCGCCATCAATAGAGCCATAATTAGACTCCATGGGTCCGTCTAGGTCATGAAGCGAGATACATAACTCATTTACACAACCATGAGTGAGACAACCATGGTTTACTGCAAGATCAGCAGTTTTGCACCATTCGTTTAATTTGTATTCATGAATACGTCACTTGATCAGCTAGAAGATTTACCTGTGAATTATAAGTTTTCATTTTTCTATTATGCAGGAACATCTTCTCCTAATAAATACATTTAAAACCTAAATACACTAAAGATCACCATTCGTAAATCAATTCTCTGATTCCACGCCTGGAGTCAGGCTGGGAACTGGAAACTGTGAGAGAGCCATCACGAGTATAGAAGGGTATAGAGAGAGGGGTAGACTGCTTTCCTCCCAATGTTGTAAGAACCAGGGAGCCAAGGATGACAAAAACCCTTCACAATTTCCACAGTTTGATGAACATTTCTGAGGTACGGATGTACTTCCATGGACCCTCCCCACCATTTCTGGGGGATGTTTGGAGATCTATGCCATTTTTGGCAACTTAACAACTCTGATGAGTCCGAAATCCATCGCACGGAGAACAGATCCATGACCTGAAAATGTCGTGTGAAGATAGTCGTGGTACCTGCATACGCTTTAATACAAGACACAATAAGCACAACGCATCCCATTCTTAAAATAATTGCACTCCTGGAAGCTTCGTAAGTGGACATAACTCTTCATTTTCCTATGCATTTCTAAAAGGTCCTCATCAAGATCATAGGGAATCATACATCGTTGTAAAGCCCTTTACATATTCCTTGATTCCATGAAATATGTGACACATATTATCAGTATCCCGGCAGTGCAATCTAGGGATAACAGAAGCGTCAATGGAAGTGTTTCCTATCGAACGCTGTTTTTTTTATTGGAAATTGACTTATCTAAATATAAACTAGTAGCGCCTTTTGCGCTCGACGGTCTAAAAAAGAGTAATTAATTTGAAGCATCTGCTTTCGACCAATGGGGTAAAACTCATTGGGTTATATATTTTTTTTCCCTGTGCTGTTAAGTCACACAATTAATATTGTGTGTCGTCATTGGCCACAAAACACAGATGCTTAGCTTGTAAAAGCAAATGTCCAAATGGATGTGGTCATTCAGGTAAGTTTGCACTAGGAGGTATTCTGTCATACAAATCCTGGCTTTTCTATATTACCAAACGTCACTGTTTTAGCTGAGAAATATTTAACTGAATACAAGAGTTCTGTTTCAACTCTGGCAATTAATTTGGCAAATATCATTCAACTTTCCTCGTATGATTAGTACTGCAGAATAAAATTACATTTTTCTCATCTTGACAAAGTAGATTCCATGATCTTTCCAACTGATCTCTTTCGGAGTTCCATTCATGCAGGTATAGAAAGACTAATCGCACTTAGGGTAAAACCACCAATGTTCGAACAGTTAAACTGGTCGAGCCTCATAAATCGCTTGTCCTACCTAGATAAAATAGAACGATCAAACGCGGTGCACGAATAGCTCTGATGACGCGGATTTCAGGCACTTTTGGGAGAAACATAACTCCGTACATTCTTTCGCTCCCCTTAAACACAGAAACATAGAAGCTGAAGTTTCGTGCATACGCACCTATTGAGATTTCTGGGAAAATGTCTACTTTTAGGATGTGTTCCCTGGGGGGCATATTTGGGGGTGTCGACAAAGATTGAACCGCATGTGATGTCGGATGACGCGTCCAGTGAAACTCTTCGCACCGAATGAAAGGTACCACGAAGCGCACCCGTGATCGCTTCAACTTGTAAGACGTTTGCGTTCATGTTTCTCATGATTATAAGCGTGCTATTGCATGAAAAGCACAGATCGACCGTCCTGTACTCGCGGAAGCGTTTCGCTGCCACATTGAGCAACCATCAATCAAAATGAATTTCATTCGCATAAGTACACATGGAAATATGACTACAAAGGGCTCATTTCAGTGCAAGACTTAACGACTTGAACGCGAGATGCTTGACGGATGACTGGCAACACGTGGCGAAAGTCACTACCCGGCAACTTGGTCACCAAATGGTCATCGTCCATCGAGTTTCGCAACGCCCGTTCGATCATTGCCAGCCCTTCAGCGGGGGCTCCATGGACGCTTCGTCCCGAATGATGACGTCGGTAGTTCGAATCATAGCCTGATCTTGCGCGATGCATGACACGGTATATGCATGAGTAGCTCCGATGGCAAGTCGAATGCCGTGAGATACGTCATACCACAAGGCAGAAGAATTGCAGCAATACCAGTCTACCAAACACTTATGAACATTCGGTTTTCTTTCACGCCGTAGGTGAATCAGCGTGATGTACGAGTGCGTACGAGTACGAGTTTACCAGTGCCACCTGGCTCATCGTTGAAGAAAGGGCGATGTACTTTCCGTTAAGAACTCCCATGCGCCCCTGTATTTCAACCGCTTTTCTTTGCATCAAAACCGCAGAATTGAACATACGCTGGTTGCTTATTTCGATTTAGCAGAGGAACGACATCACCAAAAATTTGTAGGATATACATAGCCAGATGATAGACATTGCCGGATATTATGAAGCAGTATAGACCGTTACCAGGAATGTTAGCAATCCTTGCATAGAAGGAAGCAAACTCCTTTGCACTGTTGTGCTGCCTTTAAAACTCACGGAAATTGCACTTGCGTTTGTATTTTCCCCACATCAACGGCGTTATTCAACTCTGGCGGATACTCGAACGGGTCCGAATGGAACACCTTACCATCATGACAACAAAAGTGCCGAAGTTAGCCTCTCTTCGCTTCAAAATAAACAGCCCGGCAATGCTAAACAGAGCATTCCACAATCATAGTGCCGAGATTGCGCAGAACGGTTGGAATGACTTTGGGCGTCCCGGCCACCGAAGCTCAAGTATCGGATGGCGGTTCGACGCATAGACGCGCTGCTCTCTGCGTAGCGTTTAACAGCCTCACGTTGCTCTGCGTTTAACGCAGCTCAACGCTGCCTCCATTCAGCTCTCCTCTCGGCATTAAAATCCTTACATTGTTCACTGAGGCCTACACTGCCTCTTCGCTTCCGTTCTTTAGGTGCGTCGCATCACGACTAAATGGTTTAGCTGTCTAACAATTTTGCTGCGGCGCTCGAGTATACTCGAGCGTGGATTGCCGTGCCACCAATGATTCCTGTCACCTATGAAATTATTATTATGTTCCTATTAATATATCCTTAGTAAATGTATCACCCAATAACGTAATTGTGTAATGTACAGAAACCTTCCAAACCCCTTAGCAGCATCATGTTTCACACCCACAGTGTGCAATGCATGCACTATATTTTACCAGCAACTGTTGGCATTTTCTTTTAGTGGGAATTTTGTGGAATTTCCAAATGTGAATTTAACCCTAATCCGGGCAAGGTGAGTCCGCTGGACTGTGATGCTGTATAAAGCCAGATAATGACAGTAATAAAAAAAGCATCTTTTTACTCGAAAGCACCGAAGCAGTGGAACAAGCACGAGAAGAAAAATACAAAGAAATTTACAAAGAAATACATACCGTAACCGCAGCAAACGGCCTTATTTTACATGTGAGTCTGCCAGAATCAGCTTGCCCGGATGAGGGTTAAATTCTCATGAATTTACAGAATGTCCTTGCACTCCTTTATTGCATTGGACTTGGTCTTTTCATTTTCATTTTTTCATTGAAGGAGATGAAGTGGAAAACTCTTCAGGTCTCCGCATTCAAGGCTGTTGGAAACTCGGACGTATATTTATGTCCCCCCAACCGTATGTGTAACAGTACGTGAAATAAACAGAGATGGCGAGTGACAGGTAAAATGTTCGCACCCAAAAGATTAATCCATCCCGCCAAGCCTTGGACCTGGAGAGGCAAAGGCTCGTAATATTATCGGCCACTAGAAAGCCTGTGATCTGGAAAGGCGAAGGCTAGTATAGATAGGTCTGTCGGGCTACCTAGCCTATGTCTTGGAGGGGCAAAAGCTTTATAGGCCAGAGGCTACATCCACCATGAAACCGTCTTACTGTATTCTATGGTTAGATGAATGGATGGATGGATATCCACCTGATTCATGGAGCAAGAAATACCATGTGAGCTCACTTTTTGGAGAGCTCTCCAAAAAGTATGGCCACAGTAAATATATCATGAAAGGATGATCTTTCTTTAAATATGCCTCACTGGATACCTGTGTTCCGAGTTTAAAGTTTATATCTCTCCGTTTCTTAGGTACGCAAAAAAAATGATTCGCTTAAAAAGAAACGGGACGCACGGAATCTATTGATACCTAAGAAGTAGAACAATTTATGAAATCAATATCCCAAGAACTACCGGATAGCCGAATATCAGTTACCTATTTTACCACATTTAGACGTTTAGCTGCAGCGAAATTTTCATGGGAAGAAAATTCTCGCAAAAAATTGCCTTGATGGGATGAACTTAGAAAAGCTTTACTTATAGTAGAGTGTGGAGAACTATAGACGCTGATGCAGATATCCGTCGTAGAATAGAGCTTCTTTTCTCATGGAATCATTCCGAGGGATCAAGGGAAAGGGATGTGGACTTTGCGCTCAGTTCATCTTATCATGGCGTATCACAGATGATTTCGATGATTGTGTCTAACTCAATCTGTGTTATCCGCTGGTACCATTTGACGTAAGATTCACGGAAGGTGGATTGGTCTTCAGATGAAGAGTTGATCCACTCCTCTAAAAGATTGCTCATTGTAAGGAGTGGCCCCACGCTCCCTTGGTCCATTCTGCTAAGAATGGCACCATTGATCCTCAAATTTTGTCCAATGTCCTCCCAGTGCCTTTGCCTATTTTGCTGTTGCGTCACCATTGTCCGAATGTTTGCAAAAATGGGCGTCCTGCAAAGTTAGAAGACACATGAACATTTTTTATTTGGTCTATTAAATTGTAAGTCTGAGCGTAGAGTTAAATTTTAACGTAGACTGATGTCGTTTTAAATCTTGTATGACAGCAGTTTTATGCCATACTGTTCACTATACTAAAACTTAAAATGTCGGTACGTATAGGGTAATAACTTGAGACTTACCCTCTCTGTACAAGGGAATTTCCGAAGCTGGACATACATGCTTCGATTCTTCTTCCTGTCAATAAGAAGTGTTAGTAAACATATGATAAAGAATGAGGGATTGATATCTTTATTGATTGAGACTACATCCAACGAGTGTTCCTCAAATATTTTCTATTGCATGTGTCTGCACTTTTGAACGGACAGTAAGAAACACGTCCAAGAATCTATAGCCTACTCAGCAGAATTATGTTTAAATGCTCTTACGTTGTGCGCGTAGTTCTTCAGCCATAAGACCCTGTCCTGCACTAGTTAGCTCTTCCAGGAAACGATCAAAATTCTCGGAATTGACCGTGTTTGCAACTTGATTCAGAATGGTGACTATCCAATCACCCCTCTCTGGTGGTTCCATGAAATCATCCCCCTCGTTTTGGAGAAGTCTCGCTACATGCTCTACTACATTTTCAGAGGCCAAGCAAGTCTTCAAGTCTTGCCAGTTCTTTCGGATGAGACATCTTAATAATTTCGACGGTTCACCTCTCACCTCAGAATATGGAGAATATGTAATATAAACATAAAATATGTACCATAAAATATAATATATTAAATATGCAATCAAATACGAACATAAGCATGCAAGGGTTTGCAATTCCACAAGAAAGCGCAAAAAAATTCAATATTCTACTCTAATTGCAGTGATAAATTCTCAAATACTCAAATCATTTTTCAAAGTCTCCGTTCTAAGACGGCGTCCTGGATAGCTCAATATATAATCCTGGTTCAGACGAAGCTAACATCAGTTTAAAATGTTCACACCACTTATGCAAACTAATCCTCAAAAATCTAACACCTTTACTACGAAGTTCGACAACTTGTCAAAACCATACGGGTTTCAGGAAGCACACCCGCTTACGAATTTACCTTTGAACCATCAGGTTTATCGAATCACAATGTAGTCCACTGAATTCTATTGATAGCTATTCACACTGAGCAACTGGAGAAGTTGAAATATTTGAAATGTTCAACCCATCAATGAAATACGCATTAAGACTCAAAATGCATTTCATGCCTGGATCATTTTCAATAGTGACTCTGCAATGAATAACTTATACAAACATGTACCTCAAACCCTCAACATGTATTCTAACGTAACATCGTAACAAATTCCACATTCGTGGCTAGTTTTCATCAAAAGATATTGAAAGTCCAAAACAGAAGTTTAGGTATACCTTCAGAAAATAATGTGGTTGGAGATAGAATACATGTAGAGATGCAAATCAACTCTTTCCTCGTCTTCCTTCAGCTTTACTTAGTGTCAGTGATTAACGTCTTTTCGATTGTTACTCAAGGAGTCCCATGGCAGTGAGAAAAAGCCTTAGACTCTGGCTCTGACTCTCATCAGTTACACAGTAAAAAATAAGGCTAGGTGAAGTCATGCGATCGTTGTGCGATGAGAGTGCATGCACTTGGAGGCGCATGCTCACCCGAACATGTTCATCGCGTTAAATGTAGGAAATTTCAGTTTCAAACACACCAAAGCACAATCCCCACCACGATCCTGTGAATGCATGAATGTGACTACTGAGACAAAGAGTTAAATAAAAATGTTAAGTCTTGATACATCCCCTGGGAAATTTTTTCGAGGGGAGATGTTTTGAAAATAAATTGTGCAATGTATAATATTGAAACTTTGCGGGCATGTACTTCATTGAGGATGGATTTCGGTAAGAAGAAAAGGTACGTTTCGGTTAAAACGGCTCAGGGCACATATTTTGCAAAAGGCGTATTTTCACGAAATTTCTGATCTAGCAAAACAGAGGGAGCATGAAAGTTAAAAAAACTTGGCAAATAAGTACCTGATGGATAGTTGCGTAAATAAAAAAAATCTACTTTTCTAATATATATAGACGATCGTCACTGACTGACGTTAATTAAAAAAGGGGAAGTCCACTGGGCAGACAGAAAAGTAGCTGGCGCATGCATCACTGACGTGATGTTGATTTAAGGAAAAATTAAATATTCTTTTATACGTCTCCTCAGAGCACAGCTTTTGGGTGGGTCGCTTTTCAAAATGCATTTTTTCCGCCAGCAAAAAGGGGAAACGTATAAGCGGGGAAAAGGGAAACGGCTGAAACTGGTTGGCATGGAGTTCCCTGAGTCTACATTTCAAAAGAAAAAAAAATTTCGTTAAAACCCATTATGGCACTTTCTTCAGTCCCATTTTCCTGTTTTTTTTTTATCCAACGAAACAGAGACAGAAAATTTAAGCTTCTCTCAGAATTACCTGTTTAATGGCTGAGTAGAGGAAAAATCCTACTTTTGAAATATGTCTCCTTAGCGTAGATTATTGGAGGGTAGTATTTGAAAATGTATACAAAAAGGGGAAACGTATAAGGCTGAAACTGGTTGGCCTGGAGTTCCCTGAGTCTACATTTCAAAAGAAAAAAAATTTCGTTAAAACCCACTATGGCACTTTTTTCAGTCCCATTTTCCTGTTTTTTTTTTATCCAACGAAACAGAGACAGAACATTTAAGCTTCCCTCAGAATTACCTGTTTAATGGCTGAGTAGAGGAAAAATCCTACTTTTGAAATATGTCTACTTAGCGTAGATTATTGGAGGGAAGTATTTGAAAATGTATTCTCCACCCTTACAAAAAGGGACATAAGAAAATATTTCAAGTTAGGCACACATAGAATCATAGAGGTAATGATTTTGATAAAAATCAAGACTTTCTACCCTATATGTCTCGTATTTCAATGGGGACGTACTTAAAATGCGTGTTTCCCATTTCCCAAAAATGAATGAATTAATCACTATCCAAGGTGATAGAACGCCGAAGGCGCGACCATATGTATATAGACGATCGTGACTGACTGACGCTAATTCTAACCATGTTAAACCATGTTCTAGAGAAGTTAGAAATCTGAAACTTGGTACACATGTTCCTTTTCGGATGCAGAGTTCGGAAAAAATCCGACTATACATGCCCTGGGGTACACATTTTCGGGGTAGAAGTTTTTAAAGATATATATTGTGACGGATTAGGTTAACATCGAGAGGCTTGGCTTCATGTCCTGAGTTCCGTGGTGTAGTGGTAGCACTTTTCGGTCAAACCGCCTCAGGGCACAAAACAGAGGACGCTAGATGGCAAAGAAGAACCCGATGGATAGCTGAGTAAATAAAAATTTCTACTTTTCTAATATATATAGGTGATCGTGACTGACTGACGCTAATTCTAACCATGTTCTAGAGAAGTTAGTAATCGGAAACTTGGTACACGTGTACCTTTTGGGATGCAGAGTTCAGAAAAAAAATCCGACTTTGGAGGTACATTCCCTGGGGGTACACATTTTGGGGGGAAACGTTTTTTTTTTACATATATTTTGTGACAGATGAGGATAGCATTCACAGTCAACGGGATGTCCTGGGTTCAGTGGTGTAGAAGTAACAAGTCTGACTGGCAATCACGAGGTCCGGGTTCAATTCCCGGTGATTCCTAGGCTTTCTTATGGCTGTTTTTGCATTCCATGTCCTGTTACTCATTCCCCCTCCATAACATTATTTTTCATGAGTAAAACGGAGAGACATGGAAAGCTGAAACTTTGCATGAATGTGACAACTGAGACAAGGAATTAAATAAAAATGTTACGTCTCGATAATTTCCCATGGGGAAACTTTTCTAGGTGCGAGGTTTTGAAGAAAAGAAATTGTCGTTGCGAATTGGACAGAAATGGAAAGGTGAAACTTGGCACACCTATAGGTGACATGATATTACTGAGGTGGGGGAGTATTCAGCTTTCATGGTGCATCCCCTCTGGGCATAGCTTTTTGGGTGGGTCGGCTATTCTAAACATGTTTTTCCTCCAGCGAAAAGGGCAAACGTATAATATTGAAACGCTGTGGGCATGTAGTTCACTGAGGATGGATTTCGGTAAGAAAAAAAAAGGTACGTTTCGGTTAAAACGGCTCAGGGCACATGTTTTGCAAAAGGCGTTTTTTCACGAATTTTCTGATCTTGCAAAACAGAGGACGCATGAAAGTTAAGAAACTTGGCAAATGAGTACCTGATGGATAGTTGATTAAAGAAAAAATTATACTTTTATTATATATGGACGATCGTGAGTAGCAGACTGACTGGCATAAGTAGCCATTCGCAAGCTGAGTTCAGGAAAAGTTATATTTTGGTGATGCATGCCATAGGGGCACACCTTTCGGGGAACATATTTTTAAATATTTCTCTTTGCTTCAAACGGAGACACATGGAAAGCTGAAACTTGGCAATAACGTGACCATTAACGCACTGAGCTAAAATGTCAAACGTCTAATTTCCGAAATAGTTTTGGGGTTCATATTTCTTGAGGACGTAACGTTTCTAAATAATTTTTCATATCCTACCGAATCGGGCAGAAATAGAAAAGTAGCTGCCGCACGCATTACTGGGTCACTTTCAGTGCACATTTTTTATGACCACGTGTTACAGTTTCAGATTACACGTGCCAGAATGGTACCATTCGAAAGAGCAGGAAAAGACCTTCACAAAGAGCTATAAAGCATCTCTCTAGCAAGGATCTTTTTTTTTTACTTTTCAGTGGCAAAACTGTCAATATCTCAAAAAGTTCTTAATATCCCAAGATGATTGTCGGCAGATCTGCTCTACCTATAGAGGCACGGCTGTACGCAAAATTTAGTCAAAATAGAAAATATGGTATTTTTGCTAAATGACGTTATAAGTTTGAGTATCGATTTCATCGCTACGTTTTATTTCTTCAGATATTACTAACAAATCTAATGCTATCGGGAAGGACAGGAAGAGACCTTTTAGAAGAGCCATACCACATTTATCTACTTTAAAAAGAAGTTATTAGCGTATTTAGGGACGGAGGTGCTAAAAGGTAACAAAACAGACATTACTTTTAGAGCCTCTTATACAACAGGGTGTCCATAAAAGAATGCAACAGTTTCAATAATTAATAACTAGATAAGTAATTGATGAAACGCAGTGATCTTTGCATCGAAATGAAGGGGAAGACAGGGAATTTATTTATATCCCGTTATAGATGTCGCTGGCAGCTCGAGATGCGCGCGCAAGGGAATTTCCTAATTGATGCCTATTTTGGCGCGCGCCTCACCCCCATCAATACAATTATCACCGTTAAGCAGAAGGCTCAATGCGTGCTTTGGTATGCGGAGACTAAGTCATTTATTACAGTTCAGCATAATTTTCAGCGGAAAACACGATCGCCGTGGATAATTAGCTTGATTTGTTAGAACAGTTTGTCTTCCCCCAAGTCGATTACATCGAACAAGAAACTCGAAGTGCCATCGTTTTCCAACAAGATGGCGCTCCGCCCCACTTCTCCAGATGTGTACGGTACTCTCTGAATGAGAGATTTCCAAATCGATGGATTAGACGAGGTGGACCAATCGCCTGGCCTCCAAGAAGTCCAGATTTAACTCCGCTGGATTATTTCTTGCTGGGATATGTGAAAAACACTTCTAGGAAAAAAAAAAATTCGCGACCTGGACCATCTGTGAGAGAGAATCTTCTCAGCAACAGGAACCATCACACCAGAAATGCTTGACAGGACATGGGGAGAGGTAGAGCGTCACTTTGATGTCTGTCGAGCTGTGAATAGTGCTCACATCGAGACTAATTAGGTTCGTAAATAAACTCCTAGTCTTCCTCTTCATTCTGATGCAAAAATAACGGCATTTCATCCATTATTTACTGAGTTATTAATTTTTTACACTGTTGCATTCTTTTATGGACACCCTGTATTTAGATCTAAGCGGCTGAGAAGAAAAGTACTTAGGATTTCCCACTTCCTCATTTGTACAAAGCTTTGGTCCAAATTTCATCAAAATCAAAGGTCATGTTTCATTGTGTGTTGACTTGTGGAATGACTACTATATCTCTATAGCCATTCTGTGGGTCCTCTTCTCCGAAAGTCATCCCAATCCGGAATCCATTATGTCTGTTGAAAATCTGTCACCTGCGAAGTGGATCCTGTAGGATGCGAGTATGGCCTTGTAGTAATATATTTTGTGCTTTTGATATAGTTATTGGTAAGGATTTCATTGCGCATGAAAGGTGAGAATTAAATATCAGGGCTGAGAAGTTAGGGAGACCGTGGATGCATCTCCCTGGGAAATATATGTGTTGTCTTGGGGCGTGACACCGAGGGGTGGTGTGCTTATCCCTTGAAACAAACTCGTATTTTCTTAAAACCAGGCCATGCAATCAACGAACATGCTGGGCATCAAGGTGAGCATGCTCACCCCTAGGATGGCTGTTCAGTGCGCAAGCATGGACGCCTTTAGGGTGCGGGATCTCGCCATTATTATTGGGTGGGTAGATGTTACTTCGAGAACAGGTGAGTCTAATCCTATGACCGTGAAAACAAGTTGTAAGTCAATACTTCAAGAAGCACTATGCAAGTGGGCTACTGGGACCATATTTTGCGATTGTGTGATGAAGAAGTTCCCTTCACAAAAAATCAGTATGGTCCAAGAATAAAACGTACCTCTTCCCTAAAATCAGGGAAACCTCAATCGAAAGTTAAAACAATGTACATATTCATTAAAAACTGCATCCGTTAAAATATAAATCCCCATGCGGACTTTTTACAATGAGGCAAGTGAACGATTTAATCTGCCTCGCCCTAGATCTCCAAGTTCCAACATTAAAATGATGTTAGTTAAATACTTGTTAATTACTTGTCTTCCGAGAAGGAATTCCTAATTAGATGTGGAATACTCACCAGTGCCAAGAATGGTAGCGAGACGATCTTGTCCTACCCGTCGTAGGGATTTCAAGAATAATCGGAATGCATCATCTCTTCCCAATATCAGGCTATTCACCAGAAGCAGCATTTTGTTATGGCGAGTGTTGTTGTTATTAATTATATAATTGAACTCATGATGTTCAATAATTCCCTCTGCCACGAGGTGGCGTATGACTATGTCTATTTCGATGAATTGGAGTTCTTCCCAGTGCTGATAAAGTACCCTCACGGTATGCGCCATGATCTCTCGATCCACTGTGCACGGGACTCTGTAATGTAATAAGGTGAAAAAACCCTCATACCATAAATTGTTGCTACAATTTGAGAATTAATCATCCCAAGCACTACGGTTAGCGATGCCACCGTCCCCTGACGCGTACCACCGCACTCTCGTCTTTCGTCCATCCTGAAGTTGACGAGACGAAAGAAAATCTCCTATTTTTCTTGAAATTTGTCTCCCTCCCTTTTGTGAGGCGGATCTGTAAATTTCAAATCGCCATTGCACACCCTCGGATGATAAGGGAGATTTGAGTGGAAACCCCCAGTTGATATCTAGAAGTATTTGGCCTGAAGAGCTGTTACACAAACATTCATTTGTTGTTCAGCCTACCTAATTTTCAGGATCGCTCACGCTATATGTTTGACCTCCTGTTTAAAAAAAGAAAAATATTAGGGATAACTGGGTCAACTTAGGTTGCTCCCTTGGCATCGCACTGAGCCAACGTAACTTACGTAAATTTTCGTTTGATGTATCGAGGGTTTTCGAGATGTCATCGAATGAGTTATTATCCATTTCTATTTTCTGTTCCTCGGTATTGAGCTCATTCAACCATCTTAAAGAAATATCGAATTGGCGTTAAAGATGTAAGAGACATTTTTGCTCGATTCTGCATGACTCATTTGCCTCGAATGAGGAACCCCAGGACTCCAGATAATCCGCTATGAACGTGAGGAGCTGTTACGTTGGCAACATAAAATGTTTCGCAGCCATTTCTGCAATTCTACAGCAGCAATATGTACTTTATGAGGACGGGAGGGGAATTTTTCGCGAACTATTTTTGCATGAGTTTTTGAAATTGTATATTTGGAGAGGGTGGGACATCATGGGGTACGTTTTTGTGAGCCTATAACTTAGGCCTTAGAATTTATTTGAAGCTTACCTTGCGAGACGTATATTTCTGTGTAGCGGACGTGTTAGGACCCAAAGTTTAAGCAGTTGGATTTTCACAGCACGCTATTTCATCGTAAAATTTTACCCGTGGTATCCATTAGGGGAATTAGTAGGCTAAAATGAACTTCAGTTGACCGAAAGTCATCACACAACTCTTCGTACCACAGGTCGAAGGGCTCTTCAATACTGATGCACTTCGCAAAAGTTATCTAGACAAATTATGAACCTTCAATCGCGAAAGAATATACGATAATTTTCACATCCAGAAATATCCCATCATTGTTTTAGTGATTAGAAATAGAGGGGGCACATAAATATGTACAGTAGAATGAAGTTGCCTCAGCAAAGCATCAATCAGATGAGGAGAGGGGAGAGACAGGAATAAATGAAATAAAAAAAACTTAGAGAAAGGCAGAAAAGCAAAACAAAATGAAGTAAAAAATAAAAAATAAATGTAAAAAATATGAAAAAAAACATGAAAAAATAGCAAGCCTCAGGAACTACATTAAGCCAAAAGAATCAAGAAAGAGCCAATATGTAGGGGAGAGAAAGAGAATAAATCCACAGTTGCAAAATACCTGAACAGGAAAGGAAAATAATTAAACGAAGCGAAAAACCAACCAACTACATAGAGTATCAAACTGTAAGTAAAAAATGGCAAATAAAAGCAATTAAACCATTTTAAAGTAGCGAGACCAAAAACTAGAGTGACAACCGAGTAGGTTCAATAGATTACATTAACCATGATGGACATTAAGTGCCTGGTCTTAACAAATTGTACTTGTCTTTCCATTTGTCCATGTAGCCGTTTTCTGAGCAACACTTCCCTCAGCCATGGCTAAGTAGTGGAGTTTAACTTTTTGATTCGGCAATAGAGCCTGATCATACTGCATGCCAACAGATAATGTTTACACATAATTAAAATAGCACTGAATAGTTTGTTATACGGCTTGGGAACTTCTAAGCAAACCAGAGTGAGAATTTTGGGGTCGAGCTGGAGTGGAATGTCGGAGTCTAGACAACATTTCATAATTTGTGACCATAGTTGGCATGCAAGAGGGCAATCTTTTAACATGTCTGAATGTTTTCAAGGGGCTCTGACCGTCATAAGGGCAGAAGGGGCAGTCCGATCATTGAACATCGATGTGAAGAAATCTAATGGTGGAGAATATTCGATGCAATTACCTAAATTGAGCGCAGGAGTTAAGGAGATATTGGGTGCCTACATCACTTGTCTGGGAAGGAGGAAAACCCTATCCCAGGTGGAATCTCCAATTGACCCAAGCTCCTCGAACAATCTACGCAGGGCGGTACTCATGGTAAAATAATTGGAATAATAACGATTCCTCAGCACTGAGTATAACTGACTAGTTGAAAGTGCAACTTTAGTGGCAATAAGATCAGCAAGTTGGTCTAATCCAGGGATAAGATCTCCGGAGTCCGCCGCCACTGTCAACATATGTTTCCAATGCTGTGGAATTGAGCTCATAATTCGAGCATATCCAATGTGTTAGTTCATCGAGTATTTGAAGTTACTCTCGGTCACATTGTAGAAAGTGTTTTGGTTCGATAATAGGCCCTTCGAAAACCTTATTCCCGTTGAAATGAGATCTCTCCTCTGAGATAGGTTTGATGGAAGGTCGATAAATTGGTTTTAAAAAGTGACATAAGGAATTCCAGCCTGGGAGGAGGGCAGAGCGTAGGTGGCTTGAGCCCAGCACCTCAAAATGTCTCGAAGAAAGGTGGAAGAAAAGGACTTCATCCAACAGTCTGGTGAACGTAACATGACAAAAGGTAGTTAATCTAGTCTGCGTGTTTGTCAATATATTTGATATACAAGTGCTTAATGAAGTGTGGTTTCGTAATGCGGGTAAGTCTCACTGGCCAAACGGCCTTCAAGACTTGAAAGTGAGATACAGTGAGAAAGAGCAATAAAAATAACTCAAACGCTGGTATTAAACCCTTCAGTCTTACACTTTATTTTATCGAAAAAAGACTGTAGTGGAAATCCTGATCTGCATTGGCAAGACAGTCCTTTGTAAACCGCGCCTCAATACTAGGTAACACGGTTTTATCTCACTGGGTGGCACAGAGTTGACCTCGGTAACTTTATTTTAGTTATATGGCTGTTCTCATTAAACTCTAACATCGAGTAACGTGCTTTCATTGAACTACCGATCCCCCGAATTAAATTCCAGGAAGAATCAATACTTTTCGTCAAAAGAAACAATTTGCAAAAACAGAAGAACAACCACACAATTTACACTTTGGATGAGATCTACTCATTTTTCAACTAAACTTTCCTTGCACCTCAACTGGAAGAAATGTAACAGACGACAAAACGAGAGACAAAGCTGAGAGAGCTATAAACAGCCTGACCCATGGGTACCCCGTGACCCTTGGTATCCCACGCTCCCTAATGTCGAGAATACCTTAGGTCATAGCTATGTGAACGGCACTACTAAAATAATGCAGCACTACATCGCGCTATTCACAGAGAGCAATGGACACCACACGTTTATTCCTTCGAAGCACCATGACGAACACATATCTGACTGGCCTCGGAACTATTACTAACAAGCAGATAACCAACGTAGGCAGAGAGCAGATTAGAGTCAAAGCCAACGAGAGGAATAGAGCGCTGCGCGGTACGTCTTTTGGTGCGTTGATAGCCACCGTGCTGCTACTCGAGGTGAACATTCTTGAACAAATTGTGCATGATACAGTAGAGAGTTTACTCCAGCGATTTATAACGCTGAACATGCTTATACGCTTCCATGAACAGGTTGTTGAACACATAAGTCTCTGCTATCAGAAGTCTTTCTTTACATGCCGAGAAAAGGAAAGGGACATCGATTTCACTGCATGGTTTCTCCTCGTTTCTCCTTCCATTTTTGTCTAGACATGAATCCAATGAGGGGCTATGCAGACTCTGCGCTTCCCATCCATGATGGAAGTTCTCCCTTCCAAGCCTATGGGGTCAGAATCCAGTCGGCGTGGCATAGGAAAATTATATCGATGTTGCAGAGACAATGGCCCGAATGTGTAAAACCTGAGCTCTGGCTCAGAGCTAAGACTTCAGAGCTTGAGTTGAGTCTGAGCTTCCAAATGAATAAACTTTCGCTCTGGCACGGAACTTGAGTTTCACTTTTTTGAGCTCGAGAACTTAATAGCTTGAATAATTCATAATGGTGGCGAACATGAAAATGGTCATTAAAATAAAGTTTGCCTCGCTCTCTTTTCTCTCTAAAGCTCATGAAAACTTCCCTATACGCCGAAAAAAAAAATTATTTCTTAGGGATGGGTTGTGTGAAATCGATGCCCGGCCATCTCTCATCCATAGGGTAATAGGATGATCTGTGTCAGGGTGACATTCCAGGGAAACTCTTCTTAGTTGGATCATGGATTTTCATGAGTGATATGTTTGTCAATCTTAAGCGTATGACCAGAGGCGATACTTCCTGGATAAAAAAGTCCAAAAATTCAACCCATTTTCATGTGATGAGGCCACTTTTCGGCCAATAAGAATACCACAATACCGAATGCTACCTGGAGAAGTGCTCACACGTCACCACCAGGCACTCGACCTGAAACTCGATTGCCGAACGCGCCTGTCCAGAGCCTGCTTCATCCTTTGAGCTTTAGAACTTGAGGTCTCAAATGACGCATTCTCTCGCACCCGACCGAAAACTAGATTGTCGATCTCGCTTCGTGCCCGATGCACGGGTCAGATCGGTCCTATCGAGTCGATCCGCATCCCGACCAAGCTCAAAATCTTCCCCAATTCTACCGTGACGTTCTTAAATGAAAACGACGGATCTCACTTTAACGTTAAGAAGCGAAACTCGCTGAACATCTGCATACAGGTGATTGGGGTTTCCTTATAGAAAAAACGCATCCCCTTATAATAGATCAAAAGCATGTTTATTTGAAATGTTTAAGTTGTGTTCCTTCAGAATGCTATGCGGTGGAACTCACCGTTACTCTTCGTTACAAAAGGGAAATGGGAAGTCTCTCATGACGAGGACCGTCCTCCAGCCCTAGATCTCATTACTAAGAGTTCCAAATTCGTTTTGTGCGCCTAAGTTTTAAACTATAGGTGTCATTCGAAACCTGGTGGCGATTACTAATGGGCCGAGAACTCAAAAAGTTCTACCATTTTCACATTATAAGGCCTAATTTCAGCGATAAGAATAGCATAGTACTGAATGCCTTCTTGGGCTGTGTGCACACAACCAACAATGATAGTATGAGGCATTGTCGGTTACTGACGTTGCTGCTATTCTAACTGTTGGTAATGATCATATATCGCGTCCCAGTCCCGTCGCCGGTTTAAGGCAGTGCTTCACGTATGTTTGCAGCATTTTGTTGGTGCTCCAAAATTATTTTAAATTTTATTTTGGCGTTCTCAAAATGCCCCGAAAAGTGGGGAACTGTAAACTATTCAGCGGCGGGATCTACTGAACGTAAGAGAAAATAGTTCTGAAGTCCCAGTCAGTGGATAAAAATGCATGCCGAAGTTCACAAAACGCCGCTATGCAGACTGCCTCCATAAACAGTGACACTGACGAAGAAAGAGGAGAAAGTCAAGCATGAAATGTTCTGATTCGAATTATTTCAGTCCGTGCATGCACGGGCATTTACACTAGTCTAAATAAGAGCAGATTAATTAGTTAAGATTCGAGATCTTCTCTGATATCCCTTGTATGTCTCGTTATTGGAACATTTGCAATCCTGTGAAACGCTCTCTGATGCAAAATAAAGGGCAGTAGCAGAGACAGAACTGCATGAGGGTCCGTGCTCCAAAGAAATTCCTGTTTCCTGTAAGCTCCAACGAATATTTTTTTTTTTTCTTTGAGGGGCATATTGCTGTATTATTTGAAGTGCAAGAAGCCTCGTTCTTTCGTTGCCTCGAATTTCTCCAATGAGATAATTTTAAAAACATTTAGACAAAGAAACTAATGTTTGACTGCAAAACTCCTATGCTCTTGCACCTCGACATGCTGTATACACAAGCTGGTGACTTACAAGTATTGAAACCATCCAGGGACGGGAGGACTTCTGACGCGAGCAATGAGGAGCAAAAGGCGAAGAGATATAAGTGCATTTCGTAGCTACTTATGAAGTAAAAATATGTTCAAATAATGAGTTTCACTGGAGGAGACATTAGATATTGTCTGGACGTGATTTTAGCCATGAGCGGAGGCATGGAGTCCAGTAAGCTACCGACCTTCTAGACTCTAGACTCTAGAGTAACCTTTTTCAGGATATTGATTCTTTAAAACCTCATAACCTTATATTGGCACCCACAATTTGAATGTAATTTTCTCAAATGTGTTGGCCGTATATCAACATTTGCAAAGTGCGAGTTCCGTGATAACAGCTACAGGAAAAGCAGGCGGGTTCTCTTGGCCGCACAGTATTACAGCACCCACAATTTGAATGTAATTTTCTCAAATGTGTTGGCCGTATATCAACATTTGCAAAGTGCGAGTTCCGTGATAACAGCTACAGGAAAAGCAGGCGGGTTCTCTTGGCCGCACAGTATTACTTAACGAACGGGATCGCACTCGTGCTAATCCGTGCGCAAGGTTTTAAAAGAGATACGTTAAAATACGAGAGTCGTACGTAACGTTTATGTTGTCGTACGTTAGCAACAAATCGGATGTTAGATACTGGGAAAAGTTCTCTGTGCTTTGAGAAATGTTCAAATAGTTTAGACAAGCTGGGTTACGCGGCGTTGCCCGGGATATTTTTTAGGAGTTGTGTGATTAGGGTGGTGTGGTAGTGATGAGTCACATACTGACCCTGGCCAAACAGTACTTGACTTGTGGCTTCTTGAAGTTAGTTGTAGACTACTTGAAGTGTCTTGGCTTCGTTGAAGGGGGCCTTTTAGAACTTACCAACTTCACTGTGGATGCAAGTGAAATTGGTAAGTAAAGGCCAGGACAGTTTTACTACTGTTAGTTAGCTAAGGTGAACCAATTTTTATTTATTTTTGACAGTGATTTCTGTTGATTTTTCAGCAAGCCAATTTTGTTCATTTCTTGACAGTGATATCTGTCGGGGGGTGTCAGCCAGACTTTTTGTGCACCAAACAGGTTCTGG